GGCATTGAATTGCTAAAACTGTAGTTGCAAATGGTTGTGAGCCTTCAATGTGGGTGCTGGAAATTGAACCTGGACCCTCTAGAAAAACAACCAGTGCTCTTAACCACTAAGCCATCTCTCTAGTCTTCAAGAGACCTTAATTTTAAAAGTAAAAATATCATACATAGAAAGCAATAAAGGAAGATACCCAACTTTAACCTCTGACTTCCACATATACACACACTGGTGTGTGCACACACATCAAAAAAGAAAATACTTATGACATAATCATAGACAATGACTTTCTAAACATGAATCTAATAGCCTTGGGACATAATAGCAAAAATTGTCAAATGGTAAGGTATAAAATTAAAAAGGTTATATGAAGCAAAAGAAACAACAGAGAAGAAATAGCCTATAGAGTAAAAGAAAATATTTGCTAACTATTCATCAGACAGATCAACCTCCAGAATATATTTTAAAACCAAGCCATCAAAAAATTTCTAAATTAAATCATACATACATCCCACTCCAGTCTGATAGCTGTCCTCTATGAGCAAGGGGGTTCAAGATCATGCTGGGAAACCCACAGAGACAGTTGACCCAAACTTGTGGGAGCTCACAGACTCTAGACTGACAGCTGGGATCCTTCATGGGACCTAACCAGGCCCTCTGCATGTGGGTGACAGTTTTGTAGCCTGGTCTGTTTGTGGGACCCCTGGCATTGGGAGCAGGATCTATCCCTAGTGTATGAGCTGGCTTTTTGAAGCCCATTACATATGGTGGGATGCCTTGCTCAGCCTTGATTTGGGGGTGGAGGGATTGGTCCTGCCTCAACTGAATATGCCAAGCTTTGTTGACTCCCCATGGGAGGCCTTACCCTTTCTGAGGAGTGGATGGGAGTGGGTTGGGGGGGAGGGGAGACGAGGGTATGAGAGGGAACTATGGTTGGTATGTAAAATGAATAAAAATATATAAAAAAATTAAACAACCTACAAATAGTGATGATGCAGGAAGAAAGGGAGCACTTATACATTGTGGTGGATGTATAAATTAGGGGAATCAGAACCAAGTTTTCTTAAGAAACAAAATACAAGTATCATATGATTCGACTACACAGTTCAGACATGTAGACTGTGAAAAATCATCAATATTCACAGATAAAAAGGGGTTAGGGGGCTGGAGAGATGGCTCAGAGGTTAAGAGCACTGACTGCTCTTCCAGAGTTCCTGAGTTCAATTCCCAGCAACCACATGGTGGCTCACAGCCATCTGTTATGAGATCTGGTGCCCTCTTCTGGTGTGCAGATATACATGGAAGCAGAATGTTGTATACATAATAAATAAAATCTTTTAAAAAGGGGGGGCGGGTTAGGGAGTTAGCCTAGGTGCCCATCAACAGGTGAATACACACAGAACATGTATACATATGCAGTGGGTTAGTATTTGGCAACAAGGAATAATGAGACCATGTCATTTTCAGGACATTGGATGGAACTGCAGATGATTGTTTTGAATGAAATAACCCAGACTCATAAAGGGAAGTGTTTCCTGTTTTCTCTCATCTGTGGAAAAAGGAGATGAGAAAGAGGCTTAAAGAAGGCAATGGGAGGGTGAACTGATCAAAGTATGCTGGATGCAATATGAAAGTATCTCAGTGAAACCCTTTATTTTATACTATTAATATATATTAATTATAATGTATTCTTATATAATCATACTACTAATGTGTTAATTTAAATGTTTGAAAGTAAGGAAAATGTGATTACTAGGAGGACCACCAATAAATAACTCCATAACCGGAGTGAGAAGAAAATCTCAAATTACTGTAAAATTCGGATTCAGTATCAGAGAAAAATGACTTAATTTAGCTCCGTGTTAGTGCTGCCTAAGGTAGGGGGAAATCCCTGTGGCAGGCAGGA